CCTGTGACTATCCTAAAACCATGCCAGTTTCCATCAAGTTTAACATCACATCTGTTTGCTTCCTGACATTAGTGTTCTCTGGGCAATGTCTCTCTGTTCAGAAATCACATAGTAGATGAGTCATTTGCACTTGACCTTTGCTAGTCTTTCTTGTGTGTTGTGTTTTTTTTTCCTCCATTAAAGGCAGGGGATCTGATTATTTCATTGCCTGAGAAATGCTTAGTCACTACGGGCACTGTCCTGAGTAGCTACCTGGGAGAATACATAATCAAGTAAGTGAAAAGTGACACTTTATGGGCAAGCGGGCCTTTCCTGTGGGTTGCTTATTAGTAGATTAATCATCTTAAGAGGTGGTAGGGCTTTAAACTGCATGCCCTAACCTATATGACTATTTCTTATGGACTTCCATACATGTGGAATGCTCAGATAAATAAGATTTGAGCACAGAGCATCCCCTTTTAGCTAGACAGAACTGGAGGGAAGGTTACAGGCTTGAACTTGACCTGCCTCTTGAGCCAGCTTGGACCTAAATGCCAGTTAGGAATTGTTTCTTGGGAATTTGTGAATATACTTCAATAGGAGAAGGGGGATAAAGTGGGGTTGCAAAGCAGTCACGTGAAGATCGCCTTTTAGAAAATTCAGAACAAAGACCTATGCTGGACACTGAGTACTTGTTATGCATCCTAAAAAAAAAAAACCCAACCGCCCCAAAAAGAAACCAACCCAAGAAGTGAACCAGCTTTTATAGCCCCTTTGAAATCTTCAAAAGGACTTGGAGATGAACTACAAAGAAGTTTAAAATAGAAGCTATTTATAACATTTAAAAGATCTAGAAGAGAGATAAAATACTGCTGCATCCATTTCCTATCTCACCTCTGAGTATCTGCTATGTTGGTATTTTTATTTTATTTTCTAATAGATGGAAGCCTCCTGTATCTCCTCTGATAGCACTGTGCACATTTTTGATAGCAGAGAAGCATGCTGGTGAGAAATCTCTGTGGAAGCCATATCTCGATGTTTTGCCCAAGACGTACACTTGCCCTGTTTGTTTGGAGCATGATGTAGTAAGCCTTCTTCCTGAACCTTTGAGGAAGAAGGCTCAGGAGCAGAGAACGACGGTCCATGAGTTGTACACGTCTTCTGAGGCTTTTTTCTCTTCCCTGCAGCCTTTGTTTGCTGAGAACACAGGAGCTATTTTTAACTACAGTGCTCTAGAGTGGGCTTGGTGCACTGTTAATACCCGGACAATATACATGAAACACTCACAGAGGGAATGTTTTTCTTTTGAGACAGATGTTTATGCATTGGCACCATATTTAGATTTGCTAAACCATAGTCCAAATGTTCAGGTAAGAAACTGAAAATAAATCACCCAATTTCTTTATTTGTAAATGCACTATCTCAATACAGTATGCAGTTATGTTATGGATTAGAAGTGCCTGGAGGTCAATGAGAGATGTCATAATGGGAAAATTGACTAATGAGGACATGCGCAGGCTGAGTACTTACAGGTCCTATATACTGTGGAGGTTGTTAGCCCAAGGTGGTTGAATAAAGATGGTGCAAATGTCACAGTTTTGTATAGCAAAGCAAAGGTGCAGGGAGAGCCCACAATAGGTAAGATTTGTGTCCAGGGTAGTTATTGGAAAGTTAAAGAAATTCTTTGCCCTAGGTTTCCTGCAGTAGAGTCTCAAATTTATGATTCCAGGTTAAAAAAAAAAATAAATTAATTGAATGGTACAGCAACGGGGACGGCTCGAGGTGGGTGCTTCCGGAGATGGGCTCTGAGCAAAGGAATTGCTGTGCGTTTATACCCTTACAATCTATGCACCCATTCATCATGTGCTGATGGTGCGCCTTGCATGTGCCTCTTGGTCCAATGGTAATTGAGGTCTTCCTTGTTCCTTATTGGATTCTTTCTTAGTCTCCAGGCAGGCTGTTAGCTGTTTCTAATCTAGATGAGTTGTAGCTTTTGCTGACAATCGTGACACCCTTATCTTCCATTTTGCACTGGTCTCAGATCCTCCCTTCATGTAACTAGGCAACAGTTCAAGGTAAGTTCAACTTTCCTAGGTGAAAATTTGCAGCTTGTGTCCTAAGGCTTCAGTTAATTTAGCTACAAGGCTATTAGCCCTAACAATTGTTAACAGTGCTAAGCAAGACTATTCAGGCAAAAGGATATAGTTAAAATATAACCCTACTGTCCTCTCTTGAAAGGCTCAGCTCCTGAGAAAAATCTTGAGTGACATGCTCCCTGTGCTACTTCGCCGCTGGCAGCCTTAGAAAAAAAGCATATAGAGCAGTTTCACCTTATGTCGGGGACTATGTGCCAACATAGAGCTGGGATAGCACAGAAGTAGCCAACTCTGCCTGAAGCCATCTTTATTTGTGGATTTGGGGCCTCTGTAATAGGTCTACACAGTGTGTGACACATCCTGCAGACTAAGGTTTTGATGTTTTTTCTTCTTCATACTAGTTTTTATAGAGTAATCCAGGTATGGATCATCTAAATGGGTTGCCTTTTCGGACATCCATAACACTTATCTGTTTTGTTCTAGTGTTAGAGAAGTGTTCAGTACTCTTGAGTTTTAATATTCAAGGTCTCATGCCTTTTTCATGCTGTCTTCCTGTCAAGAATAAAACCTTTTATTTTTAACTTCTCAAAGGTAAAGGCTGCGTTTAATGAGCAGACAAGAAGCTATGAAATTTGGACAAATTCCCAGTGCAAGAAATATGAAGAAGTATTTATCTGCTATGGGCCTCATGATAATCAGCGGCTGCTACTAGAATATGGATTTGTTGCCGTTGATAACCCTCACAGCAGTGTTTATGTCTCATCAGGTTGGATTTGTAGATTGTCTTGACATTGAAAAGTACAATAGTAGAGAGCAGAGCATCTGAGCATATTAATGCTATCTGTCTTGAACAGGAGATAGGGGCGAAAAAAGGATAATTAAAGGATAGTGAAAAAGTTTGTGTGTTTGGATGTATATATACGCACAGTGCACAATATGCACAATGCTTATTAACGCATTGGGATTGTTGGGTTTTTTTTTAGTACCATCAAAATATTTCTGTGTATTTCCAAGAAGCGGAACAGAGTTTGGTACTACTTTGAACTGCATAGAATTTAAGGATTGGAGTTTTAAAATTGAAAGTGTTCCTTGGTAACTTTTCCTTCTGTAAATTGCAATTCTAATCAGCATGTATGTAGAACTTCCAATTGGATGTCTTAGATCGTACCATTGACTTCAGGATTTAAATCCTGATCCCCACAAAGTGAAGTTTCTGAGAGTGATTCATAACTTCTGTTTGAGTCAGGATTTCCATTGTAAGGATACAATCCTGGAGATTGCTGATAGCTTTTGAGAAGCAGATACAGTCTGATTATGTTAAAGTTCACCAAAATGTAGCAGGTTTTAGTCTTTGTCCTGTAGCTGCTTGAAAAATATGTTTGAAATGTAATTTCAGAATTGAGGATTGTGGTTTCTTCTACATACCATATATTTAAAATGTGTTTTTATGCAGATACTCTCATCAGATATTTTTCACCACTGGACAAGCAGAGAAAAGCAAAAGTTTCCATTCTAAAGGATCATGATTTCTTAGGGTAGGTATCAGGAGTTTTTTTGTTTCTCTGTGAGCTTTCTTTTCAGTTTTTCTGGGAGTCAAATTTTGCTTCTAGTATCAAAATCCAGCATAAAATAATTATTTGTTTTTTAACAAACTGATTTGCTTGCTGTTTGTGAGAGAATGTGGAAGTGGTAAACACCAATATCGAAGCTTGAGATAGGTTTCAAGGTCCAGGTTGTCTCCTAGATGTGTATCCTAGTGGAGTAAGGGGAGTCAAGGAGTCCTCTAGTTCCAAAACACAGATCTTCCCTTGTTGACACTTCTCAGGAAGAAAGCTGTCATGCTGTAAAAGGTCACCTATACCTTCTGCATCTCATCACTTCTGACTTTTTAGAAACCTGACCTTCGGATGGGATGGACCATCTTGGAGACTCCTCACAGCCCTCAAGTTGTTGAGTCTTGAAGCAGATGAATTGTAAGTTTTAGTACTTTTTGAACATTTAGACAATGTGCATGTGCCATTTTCCTTTATTTGCTCTTTGCTGGCCGTGTCTGAGATACTGTGACGATTTTTTTTGATCTCCTGTGTCTATGTCATTGTCTCCAGATGTGAATTGAAAGAGGAAAAGCAGAGAACACTATATAATGTAAAGTCATTGCATATTTACTGTGTTTGCTGCTTTGGTGTTTTGTTTTCTGGTATTAAACAGTAGACGCACCCCATTGTTTTCCCTTTCTATTTTGAGAACCAGATACTACTGTAAGGTTCAGATTCCTGACCTTTTTCCCATTGGTTTGATGAGTCTTTTAAGTGCTATTGACCTTGCTTGATTTCTTAAAGCATGTGTTCCACAGGTTGCTTCTGAAATTCTAGGGCTAAATAAGTCGCTGAAATTAGTCTCCAGAGAGCGTCAGCACAGTTTTCATCATTTGTTCCAAATGGTACATTTGCCTCAAACAGTCTTAATAGAAAATGGTTACCTGAGCCTTGCTTGTAATAGTAAATTAAAAAAAAAAAGAAAAAGTTTTCTCTTATTCGAAGCTGTTTGTGCTTTGAAGATTCATTGTTGAGTGGAATAAGTTGATTGTAAGAACTAAAAATAAATCCTCATGGTACTGGTTTCAAGCCCATATGTGAGGCGAAGTTTAGCAGAAGCCATGCTAACAAGTTCTGAGTGAATAGCTCTTACTCCTTACTGGTGCTGCTGAAGTTGGTGGCAGCATGGCAGAGCGGTTAAGACCAGAAGCATTGGTCTAAGTGCGGACTGTGGCTTTGGCTGCAAGGGTAGGAATGAAGGATTGGAACTGCTGCTCCAGACTATTAAATCTCTTCTCTTTTGCTTGCCTTATCAGTCTCATATCTGAATGCTGTGTGCCTTTCTCATGTGTGCTGACCCTACTTGCCTTATGCTAGTGATGTTATTCTTAGCATAACCATATGTTTATCATTCAGTTGGGGAATACAGCAAATGATTGTGTGTTGTTTGAACATTTTTGTTTTAGTACTTGCTGGAGGAGAGTGCTGCTTGGTGATGTAATTTCAGCCAGAAATGAACAGCAGACTTTGACTATAACAGCAAAAATATGCCATTTTTTAATAGAGGAGACACAGCGTGTCCTTCTTCAGGTAATTTGACTAGAAGAATAAGGTAGCCTAGATTCTTTTTTCTCCTGGTGTAAATGTACAGCAGCGTAATTTTCTGGGGTGAGAAGAGAGTGACGGAGGGAATTGACTACACTGGGGTGGTGTAGGATTTGTTTCCAGGGTCACTGACAACACTAAATTGCTCAGCAGAATTTTGGCTGCAGCAAAGAAAGGAACCATGTTACAAAGCTTATACAAAGCCCTGTAAACAACCTTGCTCTGCCTACAATATCAATGTGTTTGTTGAGGTTACCTCCTAAAAGAAAATGCAGGCTTGTATGAGGTGGGCACATAAGATTTTGCAGACCTACTACGAGTGCCTTGTTGCAGAAATTGAAGGCTGTGTTCATTAAAGCCAGTTAAGCCAGACGAGCTGCCTGTATCAGCCAGTCTCCTGTGAGGGAGGTCTATACTCTTAGAAAAGCAATCTCTCCTTCCTTTCTGAGTTTTGGCAAACAACATGTGCACTTAATGTCAAGTTGGATAGCTATCATGGAAAAGGATTATTAAAACCACACTTTTGCAGAGGAAAAGTGTATGCATAGAGTATGAGGTGAATCTGGTCTTGAGCAACATCTTGAGGATGGTATGGACTTAGGAGCCTGGTATCAGGTAAACATTTCCTTTCAATTCGTCTCCTTGTTTTCAATCTGCTTCCTATCCATGTGATGATTTTTTTCCCTTTTTTTCTTTTTTCTTTTCTTCTTTTACTATTACAGTTTCTCTTTTGAAAGCTGAAAAAAAATACTGTATTCTGACATAGTTCATGGAATCCCTACCACTGATGAGCTTTCCACAATTTCATGTCTTATATTAAATAATCTGAATTTTTAGTAATTTCATTCCATTTGTATAAACTTCAGATTTCCCAGTTGAAAGAGAACAAAGAGAACCTCAAAAAACACCTGGCTTTGGTAGAAGCATTACGCTTGGAAGATCTGAAGATACTACAAAAATCAGCAGAGATTCTTTGCAACTTGAATAAGACAACAGCTTGACCCATCTGGAGCTGTCATAGCAGTGGGGGATTGGATCTCATTTACCATGGATGTAACTCTTTTAATGGACCTGAGCAGCAAATAACGTAAAAAGTCATCAGAATGTGACTAGTTTCATTCACAGGGTCACACTGGACCCAGAGTTTTATTTTGTTCTTTGCTGACTTTCAGTGATACAAAAGGTTAGCCCAAATGCTGGGGGGGGAGCACAGCTGGCTTTCACCACATCTCATCCAAATCAGGCTACTTGTAAGCAAACAGCTTCCAGGGGTATTTGAGCAGCCCCAGAACTGTGGGCTCCAGCAGTCCTAGACTTTACAGGTGCCTGTGTAGCTAAAGCATGGACAATAGGGTCAAGCAGGTACTCCTCAGTGTGTGTTTGAGCTCTGACACTTGACTGAGAGGAAGAGGATGGAGCAGCTTATAGTTGCCCTGTACTGATCCTTTACTTTTTCCCTGAGGTCTGTACCTGTCCCCAAGACTTGGCAGTTCATGTTGTGCCTGTTCATTGCTGGGATAATAGATGCAAACTAGAGCGCAGATCAGCCCAGTTGTGACCATCTCCAAGTCATTCCCTTCACAGTTTCAGCCCAAGTGTTTCTTGAACACTAAGGAAGTGTGAATTCCCCTCCTTTACTCTCAAAGCTCCCTCCAGACTCACTAGTTCGTGTTCAGACTCCTCCTGCTGGAAATGAGAACTGAAAGGATCTATCCTGTTGAACTCTCTTGTTTGGAAGACCACCCAGGCAATTCATTCTGTTTCCATTTGGTTCTGGTGATGGCATTGAGAAATGTTCCATCCTGTCTACAAGGAGATAGTCTCGTGAGCTGCCTTTCAGTATTCTCATTAAATAATGTCATCTAGAGAAGATAGAGACTTCTTCAAAGGGCATTTCAGGGCAGGACCCATACTTAAGCTGTATAAACTTCACTTGTAATTGTGATTGTGTTGTGATTATTTTCCATTTTGTGGGGAATCACATTTTGCTAAATTTTTCATTACAGTTCTTAAAAAACGCTAAAAAGTAAAGAGTGTTTACTTTTGTAAATATATTGCTTCATTTTCTACAAGACTTCTCTGGTTTTGAAATAAAGGAAATTGTATACAGCAATAAAGACATTCTAGCTAATGATATAATTTAAGGAAAAAAATGCAATGAGTAAAACTGTTTTCAAGCTCAAATGCACTTTCAGACTTTCTTTGGTACCTTGTGAACAAGAATGTTATTGCATAAACTTGCTTGGATTTGTGGATAGCAGGGTTTTTCACTGCTTTTTTTTTTTCTGCATCAAGTCTATTTGGGACAGGAAATGTCATGATACCTGGAGCTCTGAGAAGGGCCTTTCCTTACCTAGAAGGATACATTGGTTTAGGTTCAAAAGACTGGAGGAACTGAGAATTGTAACTGCTGTTACTCAGTTTCCCAAACCAAAAGATCTTGGTTTTGAGGTGCCATCTTCATATCCTCTTCCCAGGATTAGGAAATCCTGAAAATAATCTATTTTCTGCCTTGTTTACCCTAATACACTGAGACTTTTGTACTGTCAGGTTTTCTGTATTGTTCATGTGGAGATGCTGGCAGTGTGTGGTTACTTTACGTTTCAGAGCAGAGGGCAGGGTGAGTGGGTTGGGAGGGGAACTGAAGTGCTTTCTGGAGCTAGAAGCACACATATGCTTTGAGCCAACTACTTTCATATTTGTCTAAACTCTGGTTTTAACCTCTGCAATTCACTTGGCACCATACTTTAGTCAGTCCTATGCTGAAGTATGTCCTGGGGTGAGATGACTCACTGGGTTTGGGAATGCAACCTCTACTAATCTCACAGGGCAATTCTCATCAGCTCATGTAAGGGTCCTTATGTACCACTGAACCTGGCTACAGCGGAGTTAGCAGGGCTGACACCTTGACCCCGTGACTGGTGCCCATTCATTTGGGTTAGGTCTGCAAAAAGGTCTGCAGAAGTCATGGATGACATGAAGAGGGTAGATAGCGACTGAGCATTCGCAGTGCAAGAAGTAAGTGCTTTCAAAGGAAGCTTGAAGAAGTCAGGTTCAAAACTTAACTGTGGTAACTAGTCTGCTGAGGTTCACGAGGAATATGGATACAAGAGCTGACACGGATGCAGAGCACATATCCATGGAAGACAGAGCTGTCGGCACTTAGCAGCCAGACGAACAACTTTGGTCTTACGTAGTCCCCTGATCTCAAAATACTTGAAGGTTGGGAGGGTATTGTGTATGCTGGGCCTGTGCTTGCTCTTCTAAGGTGTTGGTGGACACTGTGGGATCCAGAGTGCTGGGCTAGAGGGACCCTTGCTTTGAACATGCTGTGCAGTTTTGATGACTACAGTTGAACTGTTTGACCTCTTACTTTCTTTTAATAAAAACTTTTTTATTCTCTAAGAACAGATGTGTTTTTCATTTTATAATTTTATAATGCAATGGTACCAGTGTTAAAGAAGATAAGGATGCTTGGTGTTTTTCTTCTTTTTTTTTCTTCTGGAGATGGCTATTTTAAGAACACCTTCTGTACGATGTGTCTTGCAAGATGGGCAGTAGTTTGACAGAAGTTTATTGTTAGCTTCAGTATTGCACTATAGACTACACATTTATGCCAGGTGGTTTGAATATGGGCTCTACTTCTGTAACTCCTACGCTGCCTCCAGGGAGTGTAGGAAGGGGATCTGGCAGTGCAGGGGGGCAGGCAGGATGAATCGCTCGTCTGTCTCTCACGTGTAAGTGCAGCAGTAAGCCCCCAGCTTTACCTTAAGCACTGTAGCAAGTGTTCTGAATAGAGCCATGTGTGTTTAATGTCAAAGGCAAAATCCTGCCTGAATGAATGATGGAATTGGAACTAGTGCTTTTGCAACACACATCAATAGCCACGGATTTTTATCAGGAATAAACCAGCGTAACATAGGTCATGATTAAGCATTTATGTACGTACATGTCTCCTCAGCAAAAGCTTAAGTTCTTTTTTGAATCAACCTCAACTATGTGCAAGACAAGGCATCCTAAGCTGGGCTAAGAGCTGGAGTGCCGGAAGAAGCAACTGCGCTCCAGTTGGGAGTGCTCTCCAGCTGTCTTACTGAACACTAAATCAAGTTTTCAAAGAGTGAAGGTGCTTACTCCCAGTCTCTACTTTAACTAGAGCCCCTTTGAGCTGCAAACATCTTAATCACTTCGCTTTAGTGACATGCCGTTAACATTTGGCTCTGGCTCTCTGTTAGACTAAGAAGGGATTTAGCCACGATCTTAGTGCGGAAAGACTGCATTTCCCTCTTTGTATAAATTTCCTTTCAGATTGTATCTGGAAATCTTAGTGACAGTGGCAACAAACGCCAGCTTTTTACCATGAGCACTACAAACCTCGTGTAGACCATGGCAATGAGCTGGATTCTCTTCCAGCTTGTACAGTGTTACTCAAAGACAGCCAAAGTAGGACTGCATTCTGTGACTGCAGTGAAGAAACTGGATTTGTGTAGGTGTAATGAGGAATTTCTTGTGATAAGAGTGTGAGACAGAAATAGCACAGCTAGATTTTTTATTTTTTTTTTTTACTTTTTTGAGAGGAAAATTTCAGTTTAGTCACTGAAAAATGATAAACATGAAACCTCGCAACAGTGTCTTTCCTGAGTCAATTTATGTAAATATGGCATGGATTTTCTTTGATCGTCTACAGAGAGTGGCTTCTAGTTTACAGTTTTCTTCAGCTGTGATGTGTGGAGATCATCCATCATTGCTAAGTGCCTTTAGACCTGTCTGTTTCAGGACAAGATAAGGGAGTATCAGCTCTTGTACCCTGATAATTAAAGCTTTTAGGTACACTATGCAAACATTTGAAAGATGATGTTCCTAAAGAAAGAGCTTTTAAAAATTATGTCTCCCAGAGTATATAGCCCCTCCCCACCTAGAAAGTAAAGAATACCGCTTTAAAAATGCCACACTTATGCATAATTTGAAGTGTTTGTTTGCGCTCGCTGCATCTGTGGCTACAGAGATGAAGATAATGAAATCTAGGATGGACTGAAATTGTCCCAAAAGAAATTTATGGGTTTCTTTACACAATAAATATGAACTGAAGTTGTTAAAAGATTTACAATATTCCCTCAGTTTGGACTAGTAATTGGTTTTGAACTGCATGAAATGTATTATTTTTAACATTTCAGGACAAAAGCAGGGAAATCACAGCTCAGTGACTGAATTCACCTAGAACTTGATTTTATTCCTGTCTATAGCAAAGCTTAGGTGGCATCAGTCTCTTGCAGGTTGGAGTTAAAAGAAAAAAAATACATTTCCAATTCATTCTATTGAATATTTTAGTGGATATCTGTAATTCTAGAATTAAGTTTTAGAGAGCACTGCAATGAGCTGTATTCAGTGGAAAAGCAAAGATACCCAATGAACCCTAAACTAAACTGTGTGAAACTAGTGTAAAACTGATGCAATCTCTGTGTTGTCCACTAGATGATGCAACTGTACTACAGAGAAATAGGAAATTACTGTATATCCACATGCAATTGTAATCCTGTTTATTATATTTTTAATTCTAAAAAGTGTTGTATGTTATCAGTGTCATCAGTGATACACCATGGTTGGTATTAGGTAAATAGCTGAAAATGTAGTTTTCTTGCTTCTGGTTTCAAGTGAAACGTGAAGCTTTTTAGTCTTTTATCTTGTCTCAATTTTATTGTATTTTAACTTTGTTGGAGTTGCTCCTCTCTCAAGTTGAATCATGTTCTTCCATGAAACTATCACCTGAGACTTAACTAATGGTTCAGATCGTCTTTGTTACATTAACTTTACCCTATGCAATGGAGAACTGTCTGTTCATGTGTTTTTTCTTCAGAGATTAGAGGCCAGATTCATCTTTTGCACAGATCTCTTTCAATAATGTCCTTTGATGTGGCTGATTGAACTCTGACTGAAACATTTCCTCTGTGTAGTGTGATTTTGTGGACAGTTCTCCAGTGAGAACTTCATCCAAAACTGATGTTTGACCCTTTCCTTTG